CATCCAGATCTAATCAAAAGTGTGTAAAACAGAACAAAATGCCTCACTATTTGCAGGATCAGAAGGCGATAAAGGGGCCGAATTCGCAGATGAGGTGGAGCAAATTGGCTGAGGCTGAGGCCGATGATGACGATGCTGAGGTAGCTGTTGCTGTTGTTGGCGATTTTGATGTGAATGATTAACCGAGTTATGAATGAATGGCTGATGCTGAAAACTCGGACACTCTTCGCAGGGGTGGTTGTAAGCAAGTTGCTGCTGCTGTCTCGAATGAAAGCAGAGAGGGCGAGAGGGGGGCGAATGTTGCCGAGTCACAAGGTCGGCTGAAACAGACGCTTCCAGATGGGGAGCAATCCCACACTGTGTCTGTAGATGGGTGGCGGCACCAGAAAAATGTTCGTCTGACGGCACGATAAGGTCGTCCGAAGTAAGTGTAGCTGAAGTGAGTGCACTGCTCATGGTGGTGGCTATAGTGATAGCATTGACTGGTATATTGGTAAATTGTGAGGGGATGAACTGAGCGGCGATAAGTCCAAGAGGCTTAAGTAAACCACTCTCCGACAAGGGCGAAGGGGTTTCGGGAATGATATGGTCAGACTGGTCGCTGTGAACTGAGGTTTGATACAAACACAAGGAGCATGAACATTGAAGAAATGAAGTTGAATACTCACAAAATAGTATAAGTCTGTAAATTCTTTATATTCATTGTGAAATTCGGAAAAAGAATTAATGAGTCGTTAAGTCTTACCAACAAACGCAAAATGATAGAGATATAGAGAAAAACAGACATGTCCTTATATAATTGGAAGGCCACATCATTCTAGTCTTCATATCTCATTATTTCTTAGCTTGAAAAAAATGAAATCAAATACAGATTAAACATCCTACCCACACTTAATGTATGGGCTAGTAGAACAAATTTTTATGAATTCTGCTAAAATATTAACAGATAGTGAATAGTGGTAAAAAAAAACAAGAAAATGAAAGTTGTGGACACGTACTAATTGCATCAGGAACCAAACTCTCAATGGAAGGCTCTTTCTCTTTTGTATCATTGGGACCAGCCACGTGGAATACTTCAGTAGCCTGATTTGACCCTCCTGGCAGAACCGATTGCAATAATTGATGTTGGCCTGAGACCGACCTGGCGATAGAGGAAGGTTGCTTTTGGTTTTGGTCCGTATTTAGGTCAGGGGCGGGATCATTTTGGCAATCCGGCCCGCTGGAACGAATGGCTTCCTGGGAATCGGTGATCTGTGTCTGTTCAGATGTGAACTGAGAAGCCGGGTGGCAAAGGTGGAAGGAATAAGGGGCAGAGACAGGAGATAAGGAACAAAGGTGTTGTTGCTGGGACTGGAGAGTGTGCCGAGGTTGTAATGGATGGGGATGAAGATATGACCGATGTTGTCGCTGGTGTTGACCACTAGGTTCGAAAGTAGCGCCGGAGTGAGAGGTCAAAGAGGAGGAAGATGAGGATGAGGCTGAAGATAGTGAGACTGAATGAGGACAAACTGACGCGGTAGCATTATCAATAGCAGATCTGTCGGTAGGTGGGCTGGTGACAAGACATTGGGCTGTCAAGGTGGCTAGTTGGCCAGAGGCTAGGTCCGGTCCAGGTGAGCTGGCACTGATTTTGTGTGTCCGTGGAGGTATAGGGGGCGGTGCCTGTGTCACTTGCCAGAGGGGGTCTGTAGTCTGGAGCATGGATTGGGCACGAGCTCCAGATATTCCAGGAGGAAGCAGATAATGAGGTAAATACGTTTGGTTCGAGCACCAAACTAGCTGTTGATGCTGATGGTCATGAATGTGGCTTAAATGTCGGGGACAACGCTGAGCAAGGTGTTGTGAAGTGGGTTGTCTCTGTTGGTATGTGTGGGGGTTACTGACAAGAGTGCAAGGAATGCTGGTACGAGCCAAGCTAACCCCAGGACCAAGAGGGACGGGCTGTCCCAGCGACAATGAAGAGCCAGGATGCCCAAGCAGGGGTGCCGGAGAGGAAGAGGCTGAACGTGCACCATGACGATGTACAGGAATTAGGCAGCCTGAATATGTGCATGAGGGATGGAGTAAGGATACAAATCTTGACCAAAGACTCTTTTAAAAGAAACTAAGTTAGAGGTAAAAAGTGGTATACAATTTATTCGGTCCCAGTAAAATAAAGAGGTTATTCTTGGGCATGATGACGAATGAGAGCATAATCAATCTTAAATTATTTAAAACAAAGTAAGGATTAGTAGCTAAATCGTGTCTTAGGATGTCATTCAAAAGGCTTTCTCACCCAAGTACAGCAAATTTTATACTTAACACAAGTCGAAAGGCTATTGCTCTTCTAGGACGAAACTGCAGTCAACCTTGGAAACAAGGTCTTTTGAAAAGAAAGGCTTGCTGAAAGTTTATGTCATTGTTAGGCCCACTCATCACATTATGAACCAAAAAAAGTTGAATAAAAGTGGTTTGATTTTGTTTTAGCAACTTGGTCGTGTTGTAGGGGGGACAGAAGAACGTACCTTGTCCGAAGTCCATAGAATTCATGATAATTTCCTGTGGGAAAGTGAAGTTGATACATTAACAGACGTTTCGCCGTGATCGTAAATGAACCTTGTCATTCTTAGTACAACACTACAGCTCGTCAGAGACAAGTGAAGTCTATCCTGTGACCAATTGTCTGTTGAACAGGCCACATCATCTTGGTCTAAATACCTTCTGAGATAGATCTAGTTATTATGCAAGATTTGCCAAGTCCATGATCCGATGTTTGGAAGTATGATAACTAGTATAGCAGAGGGCTTCGGACAAGATACGTTTAAATAGGTCTCCCAGAAAGCATGACCAAGTTGCGAAAACGCGGTCAACCATCTCTATACAGAAAAGAAGATAACGAAGATGTCTGGGGATGTACCAAGTTCATCGTCCGACTCTTGAGATTATCATACATACTATGGACTCCTCTAGGTCTTCCTGTCGATATGACCAAGTTGCGAAAACAAGGTCAAACAACCCCTATACATCAAAATCACTGTTTGGCTGTCTGAAATCTGGATACCTAAAAGTCTTCAATTCCAGTCCTCGATTACGCAATATATGCGGATTTAAAGCAGATGATGCCCATATCCATGCCCATGCCAATGCGTGGGAATATTCCTCTTCCTAGGCTTCAACCCCATGACTCGGACATCCTCTTTATCATCCCAATCCACATTGCGTCTCATTCTTTGGGGCCCTGTCCGGTTTAAGTCATAAACGCCTATGTGAAAATGCACCGCTTCTCTTTTTCTTCTACTAGGTCGCGAAAAGCACATTCCTCTCGTCCTTCAAGTTGACACTCCCACCTAAGTCTAGGGTACGAAGATGTTCATCTGTGTGCTGGCTGGTATCCTCCGTAGCCAAGCATGTCACCAGTCACCTCACATTAAGACACCACACACACGAAAAATGCACACAAGCACACACATCTGTCACCTATATCTGGCCCACATATACCTTTAGTTCTTAATTTCCGGTCTTCCATAAAGATAAATTTTGGCCAGTACCGGGTTTGATTCTCCTCACTACAATCGCATTTTCCTGACTTCCCTTTGTCCCTTATAATGCTCTTCTTAGCTATATCTTTTCCTGTTGTTGAATAGTTGTCCTTGGTCCAAGTGTCTTCTTTTTGCTGTCATCGCTCAGTCTGCCTAGGCAATACGAGAAATTATCGCTGACTTTCTCCTCTTTCAATCTCCTTTTCATCAGATTTCTTTGAAAAAGGATTTCCACAGTCTCTCTGATCTTCCATTTTCTAGTGTTCTCTCCATATGAGGCTAGTCTTTCCGTTGCACTCCTGTCAATTGTGTGGCCGGTAAGGGCGATATGTTCAGCTATCTTCGATCTTTCCGTAGCTATTTTTCTGCATAGTTGCTGGTGTTCTTCGATCCTTATGCTAATTGTAGTTTTTGTCTTTCCTATTTGTTTTTGTTTACAGTCATTGTAGTTTATGCTCTAAACTCTGGAACACTCCACTTTGTTGGCTTCCTTATGTTGTGTGGGCAAGCTGATGAAGAGGGTCGTCCTTTCCTTCAGGATTGTACGAATGTTCCATTTCAAGACTATCCGCTGTAGCTTCTGAGCCAATTCGCAGTGCTTCCCTATATTTCATAATTTGTCATTTACCTCCATTAATTTGAGACAGGTAAATTTCACCGGTTATGTGTTGGTATGTGTTTGTTGTAAACAAACAGTCTCAATAGTTCCCCTGCTTTGTGTAGCTTCGGCAAATCGTATGCTACTGGGGCTCTTGCATCCTTCCGTATCGGTCGAGTTCAATCCCCATTTGCCAATTTTATTGTTCATATTCATTTATTACGGCATTTCTTGCAGTGCCCCTTTAATTTTAACTGTTGAGTCTTTTGTTAGCAGTCGATAAGATGTAGTGTCCATGATAATATTTTTCCCTGTTTTTTTTTATTTCTTCCTGTCCATAATCATTGTATCACCTTCTTTATCGGCTTGTAGGACTATTTTATCCTTTCTTCTCAATCCACTATATATCTTGATTATACTATTCCTATCCATGAGTTCTTGATGCTCCAAAATGATTAAGATACTTTACAATTCCAGCTCACTTTTTGATTCTTCAGGTAGCTTCTCAGAGGTATTTATCACCTTCACTAAAATGTCCTTGATTGCCTTTCTTTCATTCCAAAGTGCAAAATTTAGTCCATTCAAGAGGATATCTGTGGTTTCGAGGTCAAGAAGAACAGAAGACAGATTAATTAATTTATCTTCATCTCTTGTCTAGACTGCGAGATATATCATTCTAGAATGCTCTTGGTTTTTGTCGAGTGGTTGGACCTTGAGCTGACTATAAATTTCATATTTATTCAGCTTCTT